AGCACGAGACATTTGGGTGAGAGTTGTCTATATCCTTTTTTAAAGGTATCCTTTGCTTCTAGTATTTAAAGAATGGGCCAAACCCCCCAGTTCTTTCTGTAAATTGACTAGTACTCTCCAGGTTGGGCACCCTGACTCCTAGGTCATGTTTGTGGAGTTGTGTGCAGAAAAAACACTTGTTTTGTGTATGGTTATAAAACATTTTTATGCTTTTACATGCTGCCTGTAATCACTCAGGCTAATCCTTCTGTGCACTGAGACTTACTGCTGCACTGAACATTGTCACTGTTCTGGTGAATGAGATTGAAATATTTATCCTTGGCTGATAAAGAAAAGCATGAACCAAACCCCATATAAACTTGCTGTATTAATTGCTCTTCCTTTTTCCAAACCTGAAATTCAAGTGTTTGGTTGGTGGTTGAGTTTTGGAATAAAAGGAACATTTCATGAATATTACTGAGTGTCAGCAGGGAATCTGGTGCTTGTCCTGTTCTGTTTTACCTGCTTTTGAAGTGTTACTTGTCCAGCTGGTGGTGCTGCTCCATGCTGGAATCCTCAGGAGTTTCTCTGCCTTTTGGCCTGTTATGAAGCCTCTCTCTGCTCTTCTCAGTGTCCAGAGCTGCATTTGGGTGTAGGTGTTGTAGGAATAGTGTGACATGTTGGTTGGTGTAGGTGTTGTAGGAATAGTGTGACACATTGGATGGGATGCTGACATCATGAGCTGTGTTGTTTGACAGAGGGGAATATTCAGTTGTCATCGTGTACTGGGTAATGCAAAGTCTAGTAAATTACAGTTCCCTTTTTCATTTCTGGAATATTTTGGACCAGACTTCAGTGCCTTTCATTTTTATGGAATAATGATGGGCTTAAAGGTTATCCAAGTTTTTAATTTCTTTTTCTTCTGTTTGCTGTTGTTCACTTCCTGTGACCCATTTCCTCTGGGTGGCTGGTGTCAAAGTTTGGTTGTCTCCTTGTGGCTGCCTCTGAGAGGGATGCTGCTGTTTGACTCTATTTCCTCCCTAAACATCTTTCTAGAATATTTCCTTTCTCCATCTTTCAAATGAAGAGAATTCAGAATACTCTTGGTTGGTGTAGTCCCCACTCTGGTGAGGAAGGCAGTTTTCTTTGACTGTACTGTCCAACTCTATAGGTGTTTACAGGACAAGCCATAAGTAAACTTTTATTTCCTTCTTGGAGGCAATTTTATGTGCTTTACACCTTTCTTGTCTTGACTTTCCTTATCTAGTTTTTTTCAGTGTGGAGTTTTAATTTCCATAGGTGAGAAGAAAGATAGGGAGGAGGAGGAGGAGGAAGGTCGTACCTGTTTTTTAAGTGCTTTAACTGAAAATCTCAGGCAACAGTATTGTAACAGATTACCATTTTTATAGAATCTTTGGCTTTTCTCGTGGAATACTAGCCTTTTCTTTTGATGTGATCTGACCAAATCCCCATTTCACTGCTCCTCTGCCAGCCCACTGTGTTGCCAGCAGGTCCATCTCAGCTGCTTCTTTGTCCTCTTCATGCAGCTCAGTGGGAGTCTGTGTGTTCTGTAATGTTAAAAAGCTTGTTTCACGTTTTCAGTAAATATTGACAGCAGGTTGGAAAGTTTAAGGTTCTGAACTTCTGGCTTAGTGTTCTTTATGTTCTTAAAGTGTACATTGCAGGACTGCTCCATTTTGTGATTCTAAAGGATATCTATTGTCAGACTGTCTGCTCAGAGAGTATTTTCTCTGACTGCAATAAGGTTTGACCTGGTGCCCTAAATATATCAATTTTCTTGCAGCCAGGTGACTTACTGTACTTGCCAAGAGGGACCATCCACCAAGCTGACACTCCTCTTGGGACCTCCCATTCAACACACGTGACCATCAGTACCTACCAAAACAAGTAATTATTCTTTATCTTTTGTTTTGTGTGGCTTTCCTCTGCCAAGTGATGTGTGTGAGTAGTACAGACCTGAGATGTGGTGAAGTTTTGGGCCTTGGGGGAAGGAGGGGAGCAAGAAGACTGTTGTTGTTTGAAGCAGCCTGTTTGAGAGGTTTTCATGCAGCAAGCTTGATTGCTTGTTAATTGCTTATTTTATTATTTACCAGCTGTAGGCTTTAATGTGGAAAATGCTACAACTGCAAACTCACTTCTATATTTAAAAAAATCTCTCATCAGTGGCTGAAGTTACTGTTCATTTCATGGCTCAGATAAAGAGTCATGAGTTACTCCTTTCATCACGTTTTCTCCTGTATTTGATAGTCACCTGCACTAATCTTCTGACAGATTTGCTGCCAAGTCTTCCTTGCAAACATTTTCTGCTTATCTGTGTTTTTCTTTATCTCCTACCCCATGTATGCAAGTGAGATTTCTTATGACACACTCCCAGTCCTTGTGCCCACACTGTTATCACACAGGGAAATGTTCTTGCCAACCTAATCAGCCTCCCAGATGCTGGGTTTGGAGCCATTGGTCTGAGTTAGGAATTAGGAAGGGCAGAACAAGTTTGGGCATATTCTAGATAACTGGGAGCTGAATCTCTAACCACCAGCTGTGCCATTCTGGAAGCCAGGATGGGCTGGTAACTCTTCCTCTGGCCACTCCTCCAACATGGAGAGAGGGTTAAGAGGAAGCTGCTCAAAGGTGTCAGTCTTCTTAAAAGTTGGGTTCAGATTATTTCAATTTACACGTGTGTTCTTTTATTCAGAAGGTAAAAAAAAACTAAACCCAAAAAACAGGAGAGGAAAAGGAAAAGCTGCTCTTCTTCCAAGGTTAAAAAGTGGAGTCCTCCCCCGTTAAGGCTGTTGGTGCTGAAGTGCTGACATCCTGCCTCTGCACCTCCTGTCAGCAAGGGCAGGGAAAACAAGCAGGAGTCCTGGTGCAGGCTGGTGTTCTGACTTGTAGATGGAAGTATGATCTGGAAACATTTCCTTGGCAAATTGAAGAGAAATCCTTGAAAGCAGCTGTGGAGGAAGTGCTGGTGGAGGTGGCACTTTCAGGTATTGTCAGGTTTGTCTGGGCCAGATCCCAGCAGGAGAGAAGTGTGCACATGTGGGATAAGCAGGGCAGTTTGGAAAAGCAGTGAGTAGCTGAAGACAGTTGCTGGCAGATGGAGACTGTGGGGGCAAAAGAAGGGAAGTAGTGAGGAGCAGAAGTCTAATTCCTTTCCCTGGCCAGAGTTCTTCCCTCCCACTGTTTAGCAGACAGTGGAACACTTGAGTGGAGATGATAAAAAACTATTGAGACTACAAAAAGTGGCACTTTTTCTTTTTCCTAAACTAAAGTAGTGTCTAGAGATCAGAGCTGACAGCAAGGAGTGCTGAGGGAGAACAAGAGCAGAGGGTGAAGTGTATGTTGGAGGACAGGCCCTGCCCTGCTGCCTGCCCTGGGTGGGTGGGAGTTCTGCTGGCAGCCCTGGATGTTTGTCCATTAAATCAGCCTCAGGATGTGGGAGGGAAGAAGGTCACCCATGGACAGGGCAGCACTTTGGCGTGAGCCTCTTCCTGCCCAGGTCGACTCAAGCTGGGCACAGAAGGTGCAGGCAGGAGTAGGATCCTCCCTCCCCTCCTCTGGTTTATTGTTACAAGTGGGGAACAGAAGCACAGGGATCAAAGCCGATGTTTTTGGTTAAGTATGTAGGCTAAGGATGGGGATTTAATGCAAACAAGACACCTACAAAGTGCCTGTCAGGTGTCATTAAAATCCCTGCAGGCATCTTGGTTTTGGGGTCGTAATTAAGTTTCTCGTCAAGCTGAAAACTGATGCCCTGTTGGATTTGATAACCCTGGGTACGTTTCCTCCCTCAATATAAATGTCTCAAAAGCACATGAAGTGACAAAAGCAACCCCAGAGACTTCACTGTGTTCAGTGGGGCTGTGTGTGCCTGTGGCTGGATGATAAAGACCCCAGGAGGAATTCATCAATCCCTTAAGCTGCAGTCACTGAGAAATGGCAAGCACCTGGAAGCAGAAGAAACTGGACCCTTCTCAAGCCGGTTCCTTCCCTCTGTAGAAGTGCCACTGACCTGAGGGTGGTGAGGACACACATGTGCATAAGCCTTTGCCTGAGGCTACAGAGCAGGAACGGAAGGGCCAAAGGCACTAAGCA